AAGTTTTTTGAGACGGGCTCTCACTGTGTGGTTCAGACTGGCCTTGAACTTGAGATCCTTCTGTCTCAGCCTTCTGAGTACTGGATTACAGGCGTGTGCCACCATGTCTGGTCCTCCACTTTATCGTTGTGAGAACAGAGGCTCTAAAGTTACAGATGATCCACAACGCTAAGGGAATGGTATACAACACAGCACAGCACAGTAGCAGAGTGGACCTAGATCTAAGTAACTAGGGTTGTGGCCTGGTTCTTTCTCCCACTGCCAACCACCTGCCAGTCACAATCTTGGTCTTCTCACACCCAACATAGAAGGAAGTGTGAAAGCTACATTAGATAACCTTTCCAATTACTTTCATCTCCAAAAGTTTGTGGCTTATAAAGTCAATCAAAATAATTATCTCCTGTTATTCTATATTATACACGATCTTTCATGAATATATTAACAATTCAACAGACCTGAGAAATCTGCCATGGGATCTTTTTTTTTCTGGCGAAACTGGGGACACTACTGATGAGCAACACCCTCAGCCTTTTTAAAAATTTTGAGACAGGGACCCAATAAAATGCCCAGGTGGCCTGGAATTTGCAATTCTGCCTCTGCCTCCTGAAGAGCTGGGACTACAGGCATGTGCCACTGCTTCATTAGCTTTAACACAGATGATGAAACCTAAGAAAATAATTACATACACGTCTGCAGCCCCCTTGGCAACATCATAAAGCTTCACCTTTAACCAGTCTCATACAGTCAGAAAGAGGGAAACTGACTCAGCCACTCTGCTTTCACTGAGCTGCTAATGCAGCACTGCTCTGGGGATTATAGGTGTAAGCTTAGGGTGCACTGATGCCCAAGGCTGGGGATCGTTAGTTCCGACACTAGTTTCCAGACAATATGAGAGGCACCTGGAGTCACAGGTGTCCACCACACTGGAAAGCACCTGAATTAGGCACCTGACCCTTTAATACAGGAAGACAGAGTTGTGTGGGGGCTCTTGGAGAGGTCCTCTCCCTGCCGCCATCCCATGATCTTCAATAAACGAGACTGCTTACTACGAGGTATAGGCTTGGCAGTTCTTTCCTTGCTGTACACAAGAGCCTGGGCTATTCTGGCCCATTCAACTGTACCAACTCGATACCAGGGTAGTACAGTAAATTACTTTATGAAAAGGCAAACTTTTCACCAGTAATTAATAAATAAAGGAATTAAACATCTTGAATTTTTACTAAATAAAATCGACTCAATTTAAAGGATTCTTATTTATTCCGAATATCTTTTATTTTAAATTCAAGCTTTCTTCTACGAAATGGGAAACAGATTGGGGAGTGGCTCTGATAGAACGCTTTTCCTGGGCAGGGGATTTAGCTCAGGGGTTCTGCCACCTGCCTTGCAAGAGCAATAACCCGAGTTTGATCCCCTGAGGTCGGGGTGGGGGGGATGCTTTTCCTAGTATGCATGTAAACCTGGATTTGATCCCAACACCGAAAAATAGCTAGACAATAGTTGCTGTTATTTTTCATTCCTTACTGGACAAAATCAAAAATTGCAACGTCTGCCTCCTCAGACTTCATTTTGGTAGGCAGACATGGAAGGACTACTCACAAACGCCGAAGTCTGGGATCGACCTGAAAAACCAAACACATTGTAGTGGATCTCTACAGCAGGCACAGGTTTCCGTGGTCTCTGCATGACAACATTAGCTTGGGCCAACTTTTCTCATCTGCGAAATGCGGGCGCAGATTTCCGTAGGTCTATATTCCCTAAGCATCCCTCTGAGCCCTGATCTGAAGTAAGTCTGACCTCCACCATTCAAAAACCCGCCTGTCAACCAACTAGCAAATGGCAACGTCAGGATACGAGGTGGGGCGCTAACATCAGAACCTCAAACCTCACTTAGAAATAAATCCCATCACCGCAGGGTCCTTCGCCGCCCTCCCGTAGTCCCTGGGCACTTTTACTCTTTGACAAACAGCTGCCGGAGACGGTCCCATCCGGATTCCGAAAAGCAGGACTCTGGGACAAAGTACGGCAGCTTCTGAGACTTCCCGTCGGCTTCCGAGTCCGCAGGCACAGCTCCGGCAGCAAAGACACGGGGGAAAGGAGCCAGCGCGAGGAGGCGGCGCGGCGCCGGCGGCGGCCCCTCCATGGCTCCCTCCCGACCTGTGGACAAACACGCCTAGGCGCTGTAGGGTAGTGCAGATAACTGCACGAGTGAGCCAGTCCACGAGCAAAAAACACCCGCTAATCAGCGCATAGTTCCGCGCCACAGCGACAGATGTCCTTGTAGCGGGTACCGCTTCTTCAAGGGATACGACACCGGAAGTCCCGCCCACTAGGGCACAGGCCAAGGGCGAGGCGACCGAGGAGCTCACAGAAGCAGTTCCGGTTAGGACAAGACCCGCCCCCGGAAGTGAGTTACAGCGGATGGCCATGCCCGCGGTCCTCGCATGTCGGTATAGTCTTTTTCTGGTGCGTTTTGACCCTCTGGGCAGTAAATGGTGTTTGGGTGGGTACCCCTCTTGCTTGAATTGGTCACAATATCAAGTAAGTGCACCGAAGATGCCAGAAGTTCCACGTAGAAGAAAGTGCAGCATTTGATGCAAGTGCTGCACGGAAAGAGAAAGTATTGGTGTAGAAGCAAGCCCAGCCCCCTGGAAGCCTCCTTTTTTTTTTTTGCATGGGGGCTCGAACTCGGAACTCTGCTTGCGAGGCCGACAGCAGCACCACTGAGCTAAATCCCTGGCCCAGGACACCCTTTTTTGAACAGCTCCTGGCAGTTTTTAACAAAACGGATTTTACTGTGCTTAGTTCTTATGCCGACTCCCTCAGAAGGCAGAATTTACAGAATGTCTATGAAATATTTGGTAGCCCAACAATGATTCCTGTCACTACTGAATACACCTCTGCTAACAAGTGCTTCGAGGTCTGTTTTCATTAAAACGCAGTCATTCACAATTTTCTCAACTGGTTTGTGTAACTTCACTCAATCCTTGTTAGTTACCACATTCTCATGGCCAATCCCTTCACCATTACTTCGAGTCACAACTCTAGTAAGAATACAGTACACATGCTGGGACTTTATGGCTGGACGTTCCATTGATGAAGCCCAGAGCAGTGCCTGACTGCAGTGACCAACCACCTCAATCTGACTGTAGCATGGAGGTTTTCCTGATGGATGTCTGAGGCACAATATTAGCATTCACTACTTTGCAGCATAATTTACTGTGCAATGATCTTTGAGGTTAGAAGCCACATATACTTATCTCTGTATCTCTAGGGCCTACCCGTGTCTGACATGAAGCAGGTGTTCAGCAAATATGTTGAACTGCTGGGTGTGGTGGCGCACAATTGTAATCCCAACATTCTGGTTGGCTGAGACAGGAGGGTCACAAGTTTGAGTCCAACCTGAGCAACTTAGTGACTTATGCCCTGTCTCAAAAATTCTTAAAGTGGGTATGGTGGCTGGGGATGTAGTTCAGTGCAAAAGCTCTAGGTTCAATCTTCAGCTCTACTGAAAAATAAAAATTGTTTTAAGAAGATCCCCTTTAGTTTGCTGATTATCCAGTACTAGGTAGAAGTGGGCACCCAATAAAGTCCTAGGGCCTGAAAGCCCAAGAAAGCCTGTCTAGCCTACATGAAGAAAAAGTAAGTGCTTAAAATGCTGAAGAGGATCTCAGAATGGTTCTGGGATAAGGGAGGACTTACCGTGGAGTAGGTTGGAGGTTAGGTAGATACTGTGAAAATTTTTACATATAATTCAAATATCCCCAGCTCTCTCTAGCGTTTGATACAATTATCTTCATATTAACAGGCAAATTTCACTAAGTCTAGCTGCTTTCTCCTTTGGGTTAATGGTGACTCATTTGTAATCCCATTTCATATCTCAAGAAACTCCCCATTCCTTTTTTTCTTTTGAGCAGGGTCGCATTATGTAGCTTAGGTTGGTCTTGAATTGTGTAGACCTAGCCAGCCTCAAACTCATGGCGATCCTCCTGCCTCAGCCTCCTGAACACTGGAAGTATAGGTGTGCACCACCACCTCAGGGTTTAGCCTTAGATTCTGTCACCCTCCCACATTTCCCACTTCCATAAGTCATCGGGGCTTACCTCCTTTTACTACTAGGGATAATCCCCTGCCCTGACCCCTGTGGTCTGATGCTTTTAGTATTTAGTTGGACCAATATGTGACACACACAGCTGTCTCCTCCTTGGGACATGTATTTGCCAGCAGACTAACTGCATCAGGGAAGGATTCCAGTGATCACCAGTGTGCCTGGAACCACCATTCTATCCTGTCCTGGTTGAGTTCTGCTTATAGAAATCAAGAGCTTTTTCCATAGTGAATTTTCTCCCAGAGGTCAGCAAGTTCCTCCCTCTGCCAACTTTACCAGGTACACCCCTTGCTATATATACAGCATTACATTTGGTTGTATTATATACAACATAAACCTTTTCCATTAGTAGAATGAATTTTTGAGGCAGAAAGGGTAAATTTGGGATTAAGCAAGTATTAATGATGACAAAGCCCTTCACAAGTTGTAGATACAAATTATTTTCAAAAATATACACTTTACACATCTACACTGAGGTAAACAGGTAAGTAGAAAATCTGAGCAACTAATGCTGTATTTAAAGACAAGGATGTCCTGATTGGCTCTTTGAATGACAAGTGAAGATTTACACAAATTATCCAGTTCATCGTTGGAGCTAATGACAAGAAAATCTACAAAGAGGATCCTGTTAAACCAGCTGTCTTCACCCACCCATCCATCCATTCAAACCACTACCTCCAATAGTTCTTTAGTATTTACTCTGTGTGAGGCACTATGTTAGATAATGAAGACATCCAGATGAGGAAATAACAATTCCCACCATCACTAAGCTCACAGAATAGGAGAGTCAAATAACTATGATGTACTATCATAAAATACCAGCACAAGGAAAGCATCATGGTAGCCCCTAATGCCTTGAAGAATGAAAGAAAATATTCAGACAGTAGTTGCAACCCAAAACAAAATGGGAAACATTCTCAGGAAAATGAAGCTTCAGCTCCTAAAGGAGAGCAAATTTTGTCCTTAGTGAAAGGAAAATTAAAATATGGAGAAGAGGATTCTATTTCATAGGGCCTTCTAGTGCCAAGGCAAAACCACAGCATAACTGGGACTGCCTCTCACTATACTTACTGTTTGCAAGGGTATGGTCCATGGAACTTACTAGTACTCAAGCAAAAGAATCAACTTTAAACACCTGCCCTATTGACTGCAATGATCTCATGGGTGATGGTCAGTATCTCCTTTTAAGTCTTAAAACATAAAGAGCCAAACACGTTTCTGACACATGAAATAAAATCTGATTTTAGTTTTATAGTTACTAATTTTGAAACTTGTTAACACTGACCAATTCTCAAGAGCTGAAAGAAAAGAGCTGATTTTTCTATAGAAATGTTGAATGTAGCCGGGCATGGTGGCACATGCCTGTAATCCCAGCACTTGGAGGCTGAGGCAGGAGGATCACTGTGAGTTCGAAACCAGCCTGGGCTACATAGTGAGTTCCAGATCAGTCTCAACTACATAGTGAAACCCTGTCTCA